GAAAAATCATTTAGCAGGGGTCAGAAAACATTTTTGTGTAAAAGACCAAGTATGAGACATTTTATGCTTTCCAGGCCACGCGGTCTGTCACCACCATGCCTCCGCGGTTGTGGAGCAAAAGCAGCTATTGACAATATGTAAAAGAATAGACAGAGCTATAGTCCAGTAACATTTTGTTTACAAAAAAATAGATGGCAAATCAAAACCGCAGTGGGATAGCACTTCACAACCATTAACATGGCTACATTAAAAAGTCAGGTAAAAAGTAATTGTTGGTGAGGATGTGGTGAAACCGGAACCTTCATGCCCTGCTGGAGGGAATGTAAAATGGTTCAGCCACTTTGGAAAAGTCTGGCAGTTCCTCGCACATATAGTTACCACATGACCCAGCAATTCCTGTCCTGTGCATATATCCGAGAGAAATGAATACTTACGTTCGCATAGAAACTTGTACCTGAATATTAATAGCAGAATTATTTATAATAGTCAAAAGGTAGAAACAACCCAAATGTCCATCAAGTGATGAATGGATAAACAAAATGTGCCATACAATACAATGAAATGTTACTTGGCCCTTCAGGAATATTCGGGAATGTTGGGAAAATTTTAGGTGACACCTAGGGTACGGGTCATTATCACCTGTACAATGCAGTTACCTGACACACCTTTGGTAAAAGTCAGAAATGCTGCTATCCCGCACATCCTACAAGGCACAGGACAGCCTCCCACCCCCTACCCCATCAAAGAATTATCCGGGTCCAAATGTTAATGTGGATGTTAAGAAACCCTGATATAGACACATACATTATAGAACTATATCAGTGAACATTCTGTGCATAAGATTTGCTTTTGACTCATTTAACATTTTATTGTAAAACAGCAGCAACTTTAACCCAGATGGACACTCACGTGGAGAGTGAGGAAGGAGCCATGCCTCAAATCTGGTGGGGCAAGAAACACTACCATTTCCTGTCATAGGGAGTTTGGACTGAAAGTGCAAAGCCAGATAATTATTTTAACACCTTGTCATTAAGTAAAAAAATGCTATAGAATTTGTGTATAGTGAGCTGCGCCTCCACTGTAGTCAGGTGCTAAAACAATGGTGAAAGTGATAATGTTAAATCAATTAGGTTTGAATTAGGTTTGCAATTACTACATGGTTCTTGTGTTAATCCATTGACCATCTGGAAAGCATGCATGGCAAAGAGCTACTTTTGTAGTTTAATATGAAACTTAAAGAGGGAAACCCAATGGATTTCCCTGTTCCCATTCCTTGCCTCTGTGTTACTTGAAGGGAGAGAAGAGAAATGTTATGTGGTAAGAGAGGTAAAAAAAGCAGAAAGACAGGATGGAAGGGAGGAAATAGATTTTATTACTCAAATTTTTAAAAAAATTAGAGGCATCTTAAAAGGAAATTATTTCATTTTTTCCTTACACTAACTTGATAGCTCACTGTGGTCTCAATGCCAGTAAACTAAGATTTGCTGGAGGAATAGGAGGAGTTAAGGTCACTAACTCTGAAGTTCCTATATTTCTGTTAATTTGTATGTTTTGTTAAAAGCTTGATATTACATATTTCCAGTAAAAAGAAAATTACAGAAAAAAAATTGATTCAAAGATACCCACCACGGAGATTAAATGTGTTAACATGTTGTTAGATTTACTTCGAACCTTTCCCTTTCAATACATAAAACATTTTTAGATGCTTTCGCTATAAAGTTTAAGCTCTAATTCCTTGCTCTTTCTTCCTTTCCTCTGTGGAAGTAAGTGAAGTTGTTGTATATATTTCCCTTTGGCTTTTGTGGTGTTATTACACACACACACACACACACACACTATTTACATACGCATACATATATACAAACGTGATTTATTTTTGAGATTTACCCACATGTAGGCCTATTTATTTTATATGTGGCATAGGAGTCTACTGTGTAATATACTTCCATATATTTTATTCTTTCCCTGACTGTAGGGTGGTTAAATAGTTTACCGTTCTTTTTCTCTTTTCTTTTTTTTTGCTATTACAAAGTGTTCAAAAAGTATCTTTTTATGGTAATTGCTGGTTTTCTCCAGGGAGAGATCTACACATGGATTTGCTGTATCATAGGAATATGCACCTTTGCCTTTACTAGGTATTACGAAACTGCTGTTCAAAGTGGTTATACCAGCTTTGCACTCCGATCATACATGGAGGAATCCCTACATCTTGGCCAAAACTTGGGTAACTTGGGACTTCATAATATTCAACAATCTGAATGAAGAAAATGGGATCTTAGAAAACTGTTTTTTATCTTTAAAAAATTGATTGGGAATGATCCATCCCTTCCCGCAGCTTCTAGGAACTTTCTTGCAGTAATTAAGAGTGAACTCTCACAAGGATTGCATTAGAAATTGTTGGATGTTGAGACTAAACAGACGGGATAGAGGAAAGCATATATTTCTGGATTTCAAGCTTCCCTAGGTCTGCCTTCTGTCTCATCCAGCTTTGTCCCAACCCTGTGCGCCGAGCCTGGCATAAGGCAGCATTTCTAAAATTGTGGACTCAGTGGGATATATCATCTTGTTGGGGCATCAGAACGAGGGGCAGTGCATGCTCTTGTTAGATTTAAACAATAAACACATATAAAAACACTTTAAAAGTTTAAAACTTTGACAAAGATATTACTTTCACAGATGCATTGCGGTTGCAAAGAATTTGTATGAGAAAAATTTCAGTGTTCTATGTAAAGCTTGAAAGTTAATTATAATAGCTCCCACTTATTTATACTGAGTACCTCCTGTATGCCAAGGACAGGAGAAAGAAAAGCGCTGTCCTTGACACCAGGAAACTAGTTTGACACAGCTGAGCTTCAGTGATTTTAGAAGCTGGCCTGACACAGCTAGGCCACGTTGCTCTCCTCATGGACATAAACAAACTTACAGAACACCAACATCAGATAAGGTCACTCTGACGTGTTGAAGTGAGACAGAACAAGACTACTAACTTTGTCTAATAACAAGGTCAATGTGCCAATCGCAAAACACCAAACATCCCCCTCTCCCTGATACTCTGAATGACTGCTGCTGCTTTGTCAGTTATAGCTTAATCCTCATTCTTTAGCCTGCCTTCCCTCTAGATAAGATTTATTTAGATACTCAGTCATTGAACTGTCTCGGCACCTGGCAGCACTAGAATCTAGAGTAACCCTCCCCACTCTGCTTCTGAGGGGTCTTCCAAAATCACCTACCAGAGGCCAAATCCTTCCAGTCCTTTCTAGCATCCTTCTACTGAGAAAGCCCGTGGTTCCCCATAGTATATGTTCTCATTCCCTGGGAGTAATAAATGTCACTTGTTCATCTACAAATGTTCCTCCTGTGGCCTCTGGTGGGAAGGCTTTTCACAGACATTTGTAGGAACTTTACATACACTATCTCATTTAAATGTGACAATACCCCTGTTTGTTAGGCATTATTATTATCATCCTTTTTTTTTTCAGGTGGAAAGGCAAAGAGAGTTTAATATCATTTCCTACATCACATAGCTAGTAAATGACAGGAATAAAACTTGCATCTGGGTCTAACAGTCATTAAGATGTTAGGTACTACTCACAATTCTCCTGACCATGTTGTTCTCCTAGACTTTCTCCTAAAGATTAGGTACTCTTTGAGTATAGAGGCTGGCATACAAAGTCAGGTACAGTAAAAATGAACAAACAAACAGACAAACATACCCTCCCCGCCAAATGTAGTGTCAAGACTTAGTTGGAACTAAGTCTTATTTTCTGAAACTTTGCGCCAGTATCCCCGGAGTTGCTAGAGTTTTTTCCTGAAACCAAATCACTACTGCACTTTGACTAGGATCTTGGCCCACACCACCTCCAGGTAGTCAGGAGATGGATACCTTAAGGAAAGACTTCAAAGGAAAGGATGACTTTCAAACGAGGGGAAAAAGCACACTGCGGTGTGGAAAAACTGCTTTAGCCTTGTAACTTGACCTTGAGTATACACAACAAATTCTTTTGCATGATTTTAGCTCGAGGCCCTTCATTATAAGCCTTGAAGTGCTTTTCAGCCCTATGCTCTTGATCCCTCTGGGCCTTGCTTCTGGCTGGAATGCCTTTTAGCTGATTGTCTCCCCACTCTTTTATGCCTAAAGTCTATGTATTCTTCCTTTCGCCTATCTAGACCTGCTCCTTATTTAGTATCTTCGGTCTTTGTTCTCAATGAACTTTTAATGAACTGCTATACAATTTACATTATTTTGTTATAAGGGTTTTTGGAGCCCTCCATAAGGGTGTGACCTAGTGCTTTCTGATTTTTTTGGTGCATCCCTCTGCCGCCAGAGCGGGCTCTCTGCCCGTAGGCACTAAGCAGTCGCTCAGTAAGTATGACGAGACAGCATTTATTTTTTTGAGCGTCGGGGGCGCTGTTGTTTTCTGCCGCTTAGCACCCCATTAAACGCAGATCCCAGAACTACTTTTCCCAGGGGTCCACGCACATGGGCTCCTCGGACCTGCAAAGGGGTTAGCAGATGGTTTCACATTCCAAAGCTGCTCAAACGGTGGTCCAGAGCGCGTCTCGCCTGCTTTCCAGGTTAGCAGGAACCCGTCCTTCAAACCCGAAGTAAACTCAGACCAGTAACTTAGGGGAGGCTCTCTGCGCTTCCCAAACACGACTCCAGCCTGTGCCCTTAAGGTGAGCTGACTGGAGCCTGCTGGAAGGTTGAGTGGGCCAATGAGCGGGCCGCACAGCCAACTGTATTTCTTTATACCCGGAAGGGGCGGATCGCTGGCGTGTCAGTGACGTAACGGTGAAGGATTGGCGGGTTCCCGGGAGATCCGTGGTGGCGGGAGTTTTCGGATGTATTGGCGCTGGTTCGGGACTGCAGCGGTTGGGCTCTGTCTGGCTGCGGGCGGGGAGGCGGAACCTGGAGGCGAGTCCGGCCAGGATCCTTAAGGTCTCTGCTTGTGGCTTCCTGAGCAGCCGCCTTCTTTACTTTCCCCGGAGTTTCGGGGAAGATGGATCGGCACCGGACACGCCTGCAGCATCCGACGCTGGGCTCCTCCGCCGGGGCCCCCTACCCGTCCTCCGCTTCGCTCCGCAGCTGCCGAGAGACCAAGATGCCGCGCAGGAAGGGCCTCCAGTACCCTCCGCCGTCCAGCGGTTCGGAGGTGCCTGGAGAGAAACGTCCCAAATTTGTAAGTTTCGCGTGAGGTTGGGATCAGGCAGCTTCTGCCTCGTCCCCAGGGTCCTTCCATTTCTTTGAAGTGGGTGGGTCCATAGGGCCCGGGGGGTTAAATTTTGTTCTACGTTTTTAGAGCTTCTGGACCTTTTACGACGACACGGTCCAATTATATTTGGATCCCCTGACATGTAATGTTCATTGGAGTTGCCCCAAATTTCTTAAGGCTGTTCAAGTATATGTATTGATGTCACCTGGGTGGATATTGCATTTTTTTAAGTTGAACTTCTCCCCATACCTCTAGCATCTAAGGATATGAAACACATCAAAGTGAACTTTTAGGGTTTTTTTTTTTTTCTGCTTATTTTAATCCAAGACAAACCATTTAGGGTAGATGAAATTTTCCAAGTCGAAAAAGCTCGTTTTTAAAACTAGGGTGGGGCCATGCAGTCATTGCTAAAGAATGTTATGTTTAGATTGGAAAGAAGTCCAAGTTTTTGAAACTCACTATTCAGATTACTTCTCTTATTCACTTTAACACTCAAGAGGAGTGTCATGATTAGTGCCTTGTAAATCTTTTTGTTGGCATCTACTAGTGGAAAAATAGGTAGTGATAATAGTTGGGTGTATGTCTGTGTAAATAAATGACAATAGAGGGTTGCTAGATTTGGGTTGAGACCAACAGAATTGAAAATTTAATACTGACCCCTCCATTTTACTTAGGAGCATGGGAAAACTTTTTTTAAGTCATAGGTAAATTTTTACAGTACAGGTGTGCCTTCTGTGAACAAATAAATCATTAAGATTTTAAGTTAGGATACACAGATTTAGGGACTAAAGACTTGTGGAAGAGGAGTGAATTATTAAGTATAACAGCTAAAAGTGATAATTGAATAAAACTGGGAGCAGAGCTCTAAGATGTATCAAAATACTATGTGAAATGAGAGACGACATAATTATGCTAAATTAAACATCGAGGTGCTTGGAGGAATGGCAAAATTTTGCAGCAAATATGATGTTGATTGTTATATTGACAGAGTTGAGGAATAAATAGGATAGGGTTAAATTGGTAATGAAAGATTCTACTCAATATGAGAAGAATCCACTAGGGCAATGACTTTTCTTCACTTTACAGTTCACTCTCTGGGTTAAAAACATCATTCCATTTTGTCTCAGACCTCTGTGCTCCAGAATACATAAAGTATAAGTTTCTGTGACTCATTTGGAGCAAAGATATAACCTAAATTAACCTAAATTAATATCACAAAACCTAAATTAATATCAGATGATTTGGGTTCTAATCTGTGTTGTTTTTTATTTCTTAGGTGTGTAGAAAGGGTTATTGTAAAGATGAACACAATAAAATAATACTTTTAAGTTCTAAAACTAACAAACACACCCAAAATACTGTGTTTTTTGTAAAAATAGGAATCTTATTTGAACTATCATGATTAATTTAGAAGTAATTCAGACCCTTTATAATTTCTGGAACTAAGTTAGATTCTTGCTTACATGGTAACTTTCTTTAGATATACTTTCCATTTCACTAATTTTGTCATCAGCTATGTCTGATCTTCTGTCTAACTTGTTCTGATTGAGTTTAGAAATTACTTTTTATTTCTGTAAGTTCCATTTGCTTCTTTTTCAATTCTGCTTGGTCATTCTTGACACTTCCATTTTTTATTCTTTTATTTCTTTAGACATTTCTTACTTGGCTCTTCTTATTCTTTATTTGACAGTCCTGGTATTTAGTCTTTGGGCTGTCTCCATTGACTCGAACTCAGTGCTGGCTTGCTATCTTCCCCTTTCCTCATTGATCTTTGTAAGTTCACTGCTTCATTTTCACCTGTTTTTCAGGAGGCCTAATTGAGGATGCTTCTCTGTGGAGATGATGAATCTCATTCCACTGGGATCCCGGGGGGGGGGGCGCCACTGATTTGGGACTGCCTCCCTATTGAAGTAGGACTCTGAGGGGGCCTGGAGTTTTAGTCTCAGCTCTAACTCTGTCCTGGCCCAAGGCTCAGTATCCCAATCTTAATGCTGACTTCTGAAAAGCTCTTCCCAGTCTGCCAACTTTTCACTGCTCTCAGTCCCAACCAGTAACCTTGTTTTGGGGATGAAGGGTGATCTTTGGAAACCATCACTTCCTCACGAGATCTCAGGAATGCCGCAAAAGGCGATTGTTCTGTAGTTCAGTTTGCAGTACGGCAGGATGTCAGGCCGGTTCTTGGCTTTCTCTGATTTGGTATGAAGTGATGTTAGTCTGAATCTCTTAAGGCACCTAGTCATTAGGTCACCTAGTTGCCTGGGGCAAACTGCTTTTGAGTAGGACAAGTAATGTAGGTAGGCGATGTGACTGCAGTAGGATCGTTTAGATGTTTGGTGTTTTGCATACTCCAAAGCTGCAAGCGGGTAATAGAACTGAGTGGTAAACTGGCCACTTGCTCCTGTCTTAGTTTAAGAAGATAGGAGTTTTGGTGCCCACTGAAACCCTGATTTACTTTGGGCCATGATAAAGCAGTTAAATCTTTGTTTTTTACTAAATGTATAGTTGTGGGCCTCAAGTTACTTTTGAATTGTGTATACAAGTTAATAGTATAGGACCTCCCCCATAAGTGTGTATAAATAGTAGAAATTAATTTATTGTAACGGTGTGATAGTTTGGCTGTACAATGAATCATCTGCTTTTGGGCTATTTGTGAACTAACCAACTTGGCTTCTGTAGAAAATATGATAAATGGTAAATATTGAGATGCTGGGGATAGTTGCTAGGAGATGGGATACAAACAAGGAGGCTGGGAGGATGAGGCAGGTATCTGGGTGATAGGACTCAGTAGGATCATTAAACTTGGTACCTGCCCTAGGCCATACTCTCAGTACCTAGACCTGAGTCCTGTTTCCCTTCTAGAACAAAACAAAGGAGGTGTCTTTCAGTGATACTGGGCACTCCATTCCTACCTCCTGCTACTGTTAGAAACACACGGTACACACAGCGGTGGCCATCAGATCCGGAGTGAGAGCAAGGTGTGTGGCTACTGCAGAAGTCTCCATCACGGGGGTGCAGGCCAGCCTTTTGAAAGGAGGCCTGTAAGTTTGGCAATCCAACTTGGCAAAGTAGCTCTGTTTAATTAGGAGTATCCTTTAAAAGCTCTTATAGACTTTAGTGTGTAAATCTTGCATCTAATCGTATGGTTTTCACTGAATATATTATTATTATAATACCCTCAATTATGTCATTAGAGTACCTCAATTTTGATTGTGAGAGATGTTTCGCCCTGCCCATTAATACCCGTGCGGTGACAGTGTTTGGGCATTAGGTGCTCTGTAATTACCGAGTCCTTCAATACTTCATAAGATAGTATTATTAGCCTTGTTTGCTAGGTGGGAGAACCAAAGTACAGAGGTTAAATTGCCTTGTGGGCCTTGGGTTACACAGCTGCCAGTTGGTGAGATGGGATTTGAACCCACGCCAGCTGATTTTACTCTCCCATGCTATTGGGAGGAAGTTTTAATTTCTGCTGCTGCTTTCTGTAACCAAATGCAGGTCTGCCTGCCTGCCTGCCACTTTGAAAGCCAGTACTCTGAGAGAGGGTGCTGGTGTAAAGGAAAGAGGTTTATTCAAATACTGATCACCTAGAAAATGGGGGACTGATGTCTCAAAGCTCATCTTCACATCTCAGTGCAGGCACAGACTTTTATAAGGAGGGAGTAGGAAAGCAGACCAAAGAGATCAAAGGGAGGGGTTGAAAAGTTCTCTATGTAAAGACCTGCGCAGTCCATTCCAATAAGGATCTCAGAACTGGTCAAGCAAAGGTTTGGTGTGTGTTATGCTGGTCTTTGTCATCCTGGCTTTACAGTTGAGAGTCAGCAAGTCTCCCGGAGCTGGGATGACCAAAGGTTGGAGTCTTTATTTTTTGAAGTTAGTTCCTAGGATTCTTATACAAACATGCTGTTAATCTACAAGCTACATATTAGCCAGAGTCAGCATTTACAGAAGTAATGTCAAAAGAATGGTGGGGTGGGTTACAATTCTCCACTGTTACTATTCCCCACTGTTACAATTCTCCACTGCTCTATTTTCTCATTTAGGACCTTTTAACAGTAGTTACTAATGCCTTTAATGAATATAGAATTAGCAATTTCCTGATCATAGGATGGTTGTGAGGAGGAAGAGGTATTAAGTTGGAGAACTGCTTATTGTACTGCGATCTTGAATACAGGTGAAATCAGGGTAGGCTTGATGAGACTAGCGCATGGTCACCTAAGTGCTGTGGGTTTACTTGGAGGCAGCTGCGGCAGGCTGAATAATGACCCCTAACCCCAAAGATACTCACATCTTAATCCCCAGACCCTCTCAACGTTCCAAAAAAAAAAAAAAAAAAAAAAGGACTTTGTATGCATGATTACGTTAAGGCTTTTAAAATGAGATTATTTTGGATTATCAAGATGGGCCCTAAAAATGCAAACAATGCATAGCCTTGTAAGAGGGAGGCAGAGGAAGATTTGACCACAGGAGAGAGGGCAGCGTGACTATAAGGCAGAGATTGATGGTGTAGCCACAGACTAAAGAAGGCTGGCAGCCACCAGGAGCTGGGAGAGACAAGGAACCTCCCATGCAGGCTCCACAGGGAGGCGCTTCGATTTCAGCCTAGGGAACCTGATTTTGGCCTTCTGGTCTCCAGAACTGAGGGACTACATTTTTTGTGGTAATTTGGTATAGCAGCCATAGGAAACAAACATAGTGGGCATCGCTATGAGGGTGACCATGTTGTGAGGTTTGGTTTAACAATTTAAAATGTATTTTTTAGAAGAACCATCAGATTCGTTGAAGTCTCTTTCTTGAAGTGTTTTATTTTGGAAGGTTTGTGATTCGGGAGGCTGTAGGAGAAACACAGTTTGGCTGGAATAACAACTAGAACCGTCACTCATCTCGGTCTGTTTTATCATTTCCATAGTTGATAGAAAGCTGAGAAAAGATGGAGATGATGTCTGTATGCTCTTTTTTGAATTTATTTA